GCCTCTCTTCAGGTATTATGTGATCATAGGAGTTGAAATTTTGAAATAATATAGGTAGGAAATAAAAAATATATTTCCCTACAGGTAAATATATTAGATTCTTATTAACAAACTCATTTTCCATTTATTGGTTGAAATATATGGTCACATGAAGAGAAAAGTACTTGACAGAAAAAAATGCTTTCTGAAGACTTGTATTAAGCTTAAACCGAAAAACCATAAGGACATGACCTGACTTAGATACACACACAAAGCAAGCCTTCTCAATATTATATAGGTTTCAAAACTTTTGTGTCTATCTAGATACCCAATTTTATATTTTCAACGTAAGAAATTTTCATTGGCGAGTTTTTAGTAATGGTTTTCTTACATTTTAAAGAAGGTATTTCTTACATGAAATACAGTACTAGTAATTCACTAAGGTTTATTTTAAATTAATATTACAGCTTTATGAGGTGATACACTAGGTAAAAATGCTTTGAGCCTTTTAAAGAAAAAAAGACACAATAGTACCTGCTCTCAAGATTGATGGTGCTAATAGAATATAAAAATAATTTGGTCAATTAAGTCAATCAACCAATAAATTCAATCACACCAGCTCCTCAGAAATTTCAATCAAAATTATTGGCCCTATGGTCTCACACAGACAGAACCACAATTGAGATGGCTACAGAACAATATTCCACCTGACAGCAAAGTAATAAAATTGGGGGTGGTGGTAGAGTGGACTGAAGAAAGTTGAGAAGATTGTATAAAAATGGGTGAAAAATTACCACATGAGAACACTGGTTCTTAACATTGGATTTATATTTCAGTAACTTAGAGAGATTTAAAAAATACAACCTGGGTACCACCCCCAGAGATTCTGATTTAATTACTTTGGAGTTTGATGGGCATTTAAAGAATAAGCAGCCAAGACTGAGAACTGCATTAAAAATAATGACCCTTAAAGAGCTAATTAATCAATTTAGGGATCAAGGGAAAAATTTAAAAACCCAAGTTTGCAGTTTTTGTTCTAACCATCTCAACAGTGGTAACTTATCCACCTTTAAACTATTACATGATAGCTCTTAAACTTAAATAGGAATAAAATGTAGTAAAATAAGTATGCTATTTTTTTCTTTTGACTTATAATTCACAATTTTCTTCCCACGTTTACATTTATACTACCCCAATTCAATAAAAGATAACAAATAGAAAAAAATAATAAAAGATAACATTGAAATTTTTTAAAATCTATTTTAATTGCCCCGCTAGCCAGGAAGTATCTATATCTAGGGATGAATCCAGATTTTGTTAGGCCCCTAATTTATACAATTTGCGGGACCCTGTTTAAACAAAAGCATATAAAATTATGAACACAAAATTGCTAAGGGGCCTTGGAAGAGGCCCATGCAGACAGCTTAAGCTTCATTAGCTCTTGCATAAAGTCACTCCTGTTTATATCATTTGTCAGTTTTAACTATTCATTTTGTGATTAATATTTGGCAGATATTTTTAGTCCATTTAAAAAACATCCCACCTAAAAGCAAAGATCAGTACTAAATANATTCACAATTTTCTTCCCACGTTTACATTTATACTACCCCAATTCAATAAAAGATAACAAAGAGAAAAAAATAATAAAAGATAACATTGAAATTTTTTAAAATCTATTTTAATTGCCCCGCTAGCCAGGAAGTATCTATATTTAGGGATGAATCCAGATTTTGTTAGGCCCCTAATTTATACAATTTGCGGGACCCTGTTTAAACAAAAGCATATAAAATTATGAACACAAAATTGCTAAGGGGCCTTGGAAGAGGCCCATGCAAACAGCTTAAGCTTCATTAGCTCTTGCGTAAAGTCACTCCTGTTTATATCATTTGTCAGTTTTAACTATTCATTTTGTGATTAATATTTTGCAGATATTTTTAGTCCATTTAAAAAACATCCCACCTAAAAGCAAAGATCAGTACTAAATAAAATACTAAAATTTCAAACTATAATGATTAATGTGCAATGATTTTGAACGGCTGCAATTTTTTCATTTCTCAAAACTTTTATAATAGTTTTAAAAGCCAGTCAAAGTAAAAATCTTAGGCATTGCTATGAGGTGTCTAGGATCTTGACTTCCTCTTTGTTTTTATAAATCCTGGATGTTACCCACTTACATACAGATTGGAAAACAAAACCTTTTGAAAAAAGATGGCAAAAACAGATTAAGGCACTGATTGAAGGGAATTTGCAACACTTGAAAAAAAAAGATACATACATTGTACTTAATGGGTGTAATGCTTATTTATTTACTTGTAACTCGGCAACACCAGTTATCCCTTACATAAGAAGCCTCAAAACAAATTATTTTCCTTTCCAGGGTTTAACACCAGAATAAGGACATTATGATTACTATATACAATATTTATGCAATAATTATATTATTTACCATCATTTTACCTGACAATATTGTGACGTTTTCTCAAGTCCATCTGCGAATAAGTTATAATTCAAAATACAGTTCATGGCCACTAAGTGTAAGGTAGCCCCTACAGGTATCACTACATTAAACACAGTACAAGAAAGGTCATTAATAATGATTTTATCATCAAAAGTATTTCATTAAGAATATCCAAAGAAAGTAGAAAAATTTTTATAAAGCAGTTAAAATGTTTTTAAGTTTTGATTCCTAACAACATTTACTCATTTGGAAAATTCATTTACTTAGAATTTTACATGACGGTAAGTGAGGTGTTCTCATATTTGGTTTCGCTTCCACATCTGCCCACTTCCAAAACAGCAACATAAATTTGAACACTAACTCTAACATAGTGGAAGGGGACAGTGTGATGAAGTGAAAATGCTGGGATAGTTTCTCTTTAACTGAAGAAAGCTGGTAACACATATAGCTAGTTACGTTATTTGAAATATGAATACCAATCAATAAATATTTCTTGAACATAAATTATCATACATAACTTACAAAAAATGTTTACATTCTTACCTCTAGATAACCAAGGTTCTCCCATCTGTACCTCTTGCAAATAAAAGTTCTTGCAGTTTCTCATTCTTTGCTGGATCTCACAACTAAAAGATTCATAAAGTATTTAACAATGAGTAATGAATATAAGGTGTATGGTTACTGATCAAAATTGATTTTTATTTTAAAAGCACGTCTTGAACCTATTCTCTAAATCCAAAGTATGACAAATACAGTTGTTTATAATATTTAAATCAATTTCCTAAAACAGCTGTGATTTCAAGTGATTAAAATAATACATGGCATATTCAAGTTAGGTCGAGAGGCTTGTAATAACCATCATCCATATTTTACCCTGCTTACTAAGTACACAAAGCAGAAATCTCACTGTAATTAATATAGCCAAGGTGGTTTAGTGTGTTGCAAAATTTTCTTGCCTGGGGTATTAACAGAGCTTGTTGATTTGATTGCAATGATTTCTCTGGCCTACAGTCTTATTTGGTTGTGATACCTGTTCATGCAGCAGTAACTCTAGTAGGGGAGGCAAGAAGCTTCTGTACTCACACCCGCACAAAGGGAGGGGCAAAGGCCACGGTGAGGAGTTGGCAGGGCAGTTGGTGAGTGTTCAGAAGGGTGCTTTGTTTTGCTGCAGCATGGCTCATGAAAGCAGCCGTGGCCATAAGATGGCGTCACGATTGGTACTATGCCCAGGGCTGGTCTTTCAAGGTAGAATGGGCAACCCCTAGCCCAAAATGTCAACTCCACTGTCAGTCACTTCAGCTTCAATCTTTTATATCCAGAGGATTATTGTGTTTGTTTTCCTCAAGAATTCTGTTTTTAAAATGGGATGAGCCTGGAGAAGTTCACCTTTTAAGCTTTTCACAGCAAACATGCTAGTAATCACTAACAACCACAGGTTTAATTCAGCAGATGTTTAGTGAGCACTGGCAAGGGCAGGACACTAGGAAGAGCTGGAAGGGGTAGGAGATCAAAACCCTTGCGCACATCCCCAAGGAGCCCACAGTCTAACAA